CACTAGTGATCCTATCATTTTTTCTGTATCAATGATAACATGCTTTTTTGTATAGTTCCATATGTCTAGAAGATGCATAAAACTATATCTATAAATATATAAGACGTTGATATTTTGACTTATAATCTCCAAAGGAACCGTAGACCTTTTTGTCTACAACGTTAGGTGCATTGTCCCGTAGCCCAGACTCTTTCATACTATCTTGTATTTGAGTTTGGCCCAAGACCTAACTCCGGAAAGCTTTGCGGCCTCTCTATCGACCGACGACTTCCGCTCGCCGCCGTCTAGTGTGCTGGTGTACAATCTATTACGACTGTGGAGGGTGCGGTTTATGACCAAATTTACAAGTTCTACTAGAAAGTTATTGGATGAACGCTTCGTGGACGGGTATCATTTTCACTTCCAGTCTTCGCAAAGATCCCTGATGGCAAATGAACCTTCATCAGTTTCATATTTTTATTGTTTTATCGCTTTCCGCATACTATCTTGCAATATATGATTAAAGCGGACCGACCACCATCAATATCGTTTAACTACGACCAAACCAAACACTTATCTTCTCTCTTGATGACCCAAGTGCTGTTACAATAATGATGCCTTTTTCATCAATATCGAGTGTAATGATGTCAAATAAAGTCGTTTGCCATTGTTTTCGTTGGGGACTTGGTTGCTCATAACATCCGGGCGATTTATCCGTTCAATATATACCCCCTGTACGTTATAAGGCGGTAAAGCTTTGAGTCAATCCTTGATGATACCAGACCTAATAAATACAACTGTAATCATGTGATAAAATTTACATATTTCTAAAGGTATTTGGCATTAATAGTATCAGGTTTTAATATTTGTTTTTACTTGCTACATATTTATAAAGATACATTATACTCTGCATTATTAAAGCGTTTTAGTTTTACCCTTACTTGCTTCTTCGTTGTCAGTTATGTGGGATTAGAAAATGTAAAACTACAAAAGTTTTAAGCAAGTACGTTCCTTGCTAAGACGCTGAGGCGTGCACGTTACCCAATTGTTTTCCATTTCAATGTATTTATTTTGCGGCGGACATTTAGCGATTTCTGTGGTTTTGTGGAGATGTCACTAGATCTGGTAATACCATTATTTCCGGAAATCTCGCTAAATCGATTAACTTGTAGTCGACCTTGAACTGCACGTGTTGTCCTGATGACAGTTTAGACGTGCATCCTTGGTCACGACTCACCATTATAAAGACCACTACTGACATGTTTTGTGTTGATACCCGAGCTAACTTCGTGAATACATTAAGCCTGATTTAACGACACTACTTGTGATAGACATATCCAGTCGTTTGTTAAGTACAGTTTTACAAAGTGCTCCATTTTATACGTCACGATGTTGAGTGCACAGCATGTGAGAATGCACGAGTACTACCGGAAATTGATCTACTATAATAGATGCCAGCTGCTAAGTCAATAGGATCGATCAAAATGGCGATTTGATTTATAAATCTGACTTTGCACACAAGCCGCCGGCTCAAGCTTTCGTGTCTGCTGTCTGTGCTGAAACGAGCCACATAGAGCAATCCCCGACAACAAAGCACAAACTCCGCCATTTCTTTATGCATGCGTATGTGTGTGACTGGTTTAGTTAAAAAGTTAGAATTGCGTTGTACTGTAAACAAGTCGTACGTCGAAGCCAGATAGGGTTTAAAGTGGTTGAACGTCTGAAACAATGTAACGGACCAGAGACGGACGGGCAGGCACATCTAAATAAAACAGACCGGAGCCGGACAACCAGACACTGAGGAATCAATAGGGGTGTTATACAATAACATGACCCGGTATGGATTCATCAACTCATTAAGAGATGAAATTACAAACGGTAGAAACTAAAGACAATCCTAGCAATTATTTTATGAATACTAAGAGCGTAATTCGTCAATAACTCAACAATAATGCATATATTTCTTTGTGTAGTTGTTTGAAAACAATAATAAGATTTAAGCTAGGAGCAGAATGGGCTGTATTATACTATTATATAATTGTTATGTCACAGCAGTATGGGCTGTATTATAATATTATATAATTGTTATATCACAGCCGTATGGGCTGTATTATACTATTATATAATTGTTATGTCACAGCCGTATGGGCTGTATTATACTATTATATAATTGTTATATCACAGCAGTATGGACTGTATTATACTATGTATGTAATTGTTATATCACAGCAGTGTGGGCTGTATTATACTGTGTATGTAATTGTTATATCACAGCAGTGTAGGCTGTATTATACTATGTATGTAATTGTTATATCACAGCAGTGTGGACTGTAGTATAATATGTATGTAATTGTTATATCACAGCAGTGTGGGCTGTATTATACTATTATATAATTGTTATATCACAGCAGTATGGGCTGTATTATACTGTGTATGAAATTGTTATATCACAGCAGTATCGACTGTATTATACTGGGTATGTAATTGTTATATCACAGCAGTATGGGCTGTATTATACTGTGTATGTAATTGTTATATCACAGCAGTATGGGCTGTATTATACTGTGTATATAATTGTTATATCACAGCAGTATGGGCTGTATTATACTGTGTATATAATTGTTATATCACAGCAGTATGGGCTGTATTATACTGTGTATATAATTGTTATATCACAGCAGTATGGGCTGTATTATACTGTGTATATAATTGTTATATCACAGCAGTATGGGCTGTATTATACTGTGTATATAATTGTTATATCACAGCAGTATGGGCTGTATTATACTGTGTATATAATTGTTATATCACAGCAGTATGGGCTGTATTATACTGTGTATATAATTGTTATATCACAGCAGTATGGGCTGTATTATACTGTGTATATAATTGTTATATCACAGCAGTATGGGCTGTATTATACTGTGTATATAATTGTTATATCACAGCAGTATGGGCTGTATTATACTGTGTATATAATTGTTATATCACAGCAGTATGGGCTGTATTATACTGTGTATATAATTGTTATATCACAGCAGTATGGGCTGTATTATACTGTGTATATAATTGTTATATCACAGCAGTATGGGCTGTATTATACTGTGTATATAATTGTTATATCACAGCAGTATGGGCTGTATTATACTGTGTATATAATTGTTATATCACAGCAGTATGGGCTGTATTATACTGTGTATATAATTGTTATATCACAGCAGTATGGGCTGTATTATACTGTGTATATAATTGTTATATCACAGCAGTATGGGCTGTATTATACTGTGTATATAATTGTTATATCACAGCAGTATGGGCTGTATTATACTGTGTATATAATTGTTATATCACAGCAGTATGGGCTGTATTATACTGTGTATATAATTGTTATATCACAGCAGTATGGGCTGTATTATACTGTGTATATAATTGTTATATCACAGCAGTATGGGCTGTATTATACTGTGTATATAATTGTTATATCACAGCAGTATGGGCTGTATTATACTGTGTATATAATTGTTATATCACAGCAGTATGGGCTGTATTATACTGTGTATATAATTGTTATATCACAGCAGTATGGGCTGTATTATACTGTGTATATAATTGTTATATCACAGCAGTATGGGCTGTATTATACTGTGTATATAATTGTTATATCACAGCAGTATGGGCTGTATTATACTGTGTATATAATTGTTATATCACAGCAGTATGGGCTGTATTATACTGTGTATATAATTGTTATATCACAGCAGTATGGGCTGTATTATACTGTGTATATAATTGTTATATCACAGCAGTATGGGCTGTATTATACTATGTATATAATTGTTATATCACAGCAGTATGGACTGTATTATACTATGTATGTAATTGTTATATCACAGCAGTATCGACTGTATTATACTATGTATATAATTGTTATATCACAGCAGTATGGGCTGTATTATACTATGTATATAATTGTTATATCACAGCAGTATGGACTGTATTATACTATGTATGTAATTGTTATATCACAGCAGTATCGACTGTATTATACTATGTATATAATTGTTATATCACAGCAGTATGGGCTGTATTATACTGTGTATGTAATTGTTATATCACAGCAGTGTGGACTGTATTATACTGTGTATGTAATTGTTATATCACAGCAGTATCGACTGTATTATACTATGTATATAATTGTTATATCACAGCAGTATGGACTGTATTATACAATGTATGTAATTGTTATATCACAGCAGTGTGGACTGTATTATACTGTGTATGTAATTGTTATATCACAGCAGTATCGACTGTAATATACTGTGTATGTAGTTCTTATATCACAGCAGTATCGACTGTACTATACTATGTAAGACTTGTTATAAAGTATCAACAGTCTTACACACATAGAGCTATGTTCAGCAGCACTGTATCCCAAACACGGACATTTTACACACCTCTTACACAACCGTCAGAATCAGTGTATAAAAATGAAAACATCCGGTTACAGCGAAACTGTTAATGTCAGGACCATTATTCCCGCTTTCCTTACTGTAGTTTGTTTAACAACATTTTTGTATATATAAAGTTATATGGTGTGTACGCCGAATAGTAACAACCGCCGATAAGGATTTAGAATTCAAGTTGTTACAAGGCTCGTGTTAAAAGTCTGTGACTCGGCCTGCTGATCGTGAGAGGCGGGGTAAGTCCGTCCTAATTAGATCGGACACATAGTGTCTGCACGTTTCATCCCGTCTGTTGCCATTTGTTACTATATAAGTAATTGATTTCCGCTTCCGGTAAAATACGTGCATTTACTATTAATGAATGCAACATTAGAAAAAGTATTATATTTCTTACATGATGCAAATGATATATAATATATTAAAAGTACACGCGTCGCCGCTTTGTCACAGCCTATAGAGATGAAATCAATAATTACATCGACTGACAGACATATGTATAACGTTTACCGTAAATACCCGTATGAACACACAGTAATAACTAAATTAAAATACACTCACCTAGAGATTGCTAAATCCGCCTTTTGTAGAGAGATTTGGGCCCACCGCTGTGCCGATAAAACCGCATTGTCCACTCGTTCACGCAGTTTAGAAGTCCTGATCAAGAATAATTTATTTTTCTTTCCTGACGATATTAAAACGTTGTTTTTATATTTCCCCTCCTCTCTTGCACCATCCTTGAATGTTGTTACTCCGTATCCATATTTCTTATTGTTATACCACTCGCCTTCGTATTTGAGTCCGTCGGAACGTTCACTAACACCGAAGCCAGAACGCTTGTCGTTCTTCCACTCTCCCATATACGTTTCCGTGACGTTGATATCTGTGATGTCATCCTGGCTTACAAAACTTAAATTACTATCTGTGTACATAGAAGCGTTCGTCATCCCGGACTGCGTCGAGTCGGCACTCACGTGACTGATGTTGCTGATTGTGCTGCGTACCGACCCAGTCTGACGGCTTGGCGAACTGTTGATGTCACCTGTGCTTTTTTGCTTTTTGAGCTTCAAACCAGACATTAGAGTTTTCCGTAAACTAGACCTACCCTGCTTATCGAATATAGAGCGCCGTCTGGTGGGGGGTGTTTCGTCACTCTTGGCTTTAAGCACGAAACCTCCGCGGCTCTCATCTAGTTTTTTATCACGATTTTTCACCACAATTTCATCCTCGTTTTCACTGCGCAGTGACGTCAGTGACGCCCGTAACGTCTTAGGTCGGTAATGCGACGCTAGGCCATAGGGCACGCTTGCGCGCACCCCATAGCCGTGGCGCATGCCTCTCAACCATTGTCCATGATACGTCCCTGTAAGTAAAACAAGTGATTATTAGATACGGCGATGTAAGATATCGTCAACAAAACTTTTAATTAATGAGAGATGCAATCAATCAAATGCAGAAAGCATGCGGCAAAAACAATGTCCAGCCATTGTTTACAACACACAACAAAAGTTAGGGATATCATTAAGTTCAACAAGAAATTTTCCAATAATATTCAGAGAATGCTGTTTATCAAAGTCATGTTTATTTCGACCAAGGTAAGAAAGACGACAAGACTTGGTACCTCTCAAACGTTTGAGGTGTTACAAATCTACTCGGAACAACCGTACCCCTAACTGTCTACTCGGAACATCTTTATCGACGTCACACGTATATCTTGTTGTCTGGCCTGTTCAGTACTTGTCATAACCCAACAGTTTGTTGATTCACCGTTATTTTGACTGTTGTTATCTTATAGAACGACATGATCTTGCGATGGTGCAAAGTTCGTTTATGCTGACCTATTTGTAGCGCGTTCTATTTCTCGTCCCCTTAGATCGATTTTCCATTTACCGTTTAAGCGCTTTATGAATACAAAACAGCGTTGGTGATGTCCTTATTTCCATATTGAACGTGAAAAAGTTTAAATTTGCGATAAGATCACAGTATAGGTTTCTGTCACGTTATTACACAGTTTCTAGGATTGTCTGGTGCTTTGGGTAAAGTCTTGACCCATATCCGATGTCCAATATGACTAGACCACTGGTTAGTCGGGGCACAGCGATTGTCACAGATATGCAAGCAGACGAGATGGATCTCCGAAGGACTGAAAAAAGACAGGAGTGTTGGATGTTATGTATGAGAAGCTGTTTTTGTAAGTTCAAGACTTTCTGAGGCCTTTTATTTCCATTGATTTCACCCCTGGTTATTGGCATGGAGACCAAAAGAAAATCCTGTTTCGTGTCTAGCCTGAACATTTAATGTTTTTATTCCAATCATTTAAAAGTATTGCTGTTGGTGTTGTATCATCATCTTATGTCAAAAGATTTTCTTTTCTTTATAGAATAACACGTTTATTTCAATGTGTTTTGGTTAAGGCTCCACTAAACACTGTGCCCCAGTTTGACCTATTTTTGGTATTTAATGTCCAAATTGAAAATATCAATCATTTTCCTACACAGATTCCCGTGTTTAATCAGATATCAAGCATTCAAACCGATGTTGTATTTTACGTTTCATCCATATTTCAGTCAGATGTCATGTGTTGCGATTGATCGTTCGACAATGGTGGCGTTATGGCAATAATTGACGCTAACCATTACCGGGGTGGATATTGAGCACACGTCCATACAACAGAGCTTTGTGGCTCAATATTCCCAAGCCTTCCTAGACCTGGTGCTGAAATGGACGTGAAAATAGGGTCGTGTTTGCGTATGAATATTTATATGGAAGGATACATCAGGAAAATTAATTAATTGAACAGGACAGATACGAACGAATTTAGTGAGAAATGACCAGTTTTGAATAGGGGAGATATGAACGAGTTTAGGGCGAAATGACCGGTTATAAACAGGAGAGATATGAACGAGTTTAGGGCGAAATGACCACTTATAAACACGGGATATATAAACGAGTTTAAGGCAAAATGACCAGTTATAAACACGAGAGATATAAACGAGTTTAGGGAGAAATCATCAGAAATTACCGGAAATAAACAAGGGAGATACGAATTAAGTTGAGGAAGAGGTAACCAGATATATATTTATCAAAGTAACCGTTAACGCGTTATCACCTCTACTGACGCAACTCTGATGTTCCAGTTCGGGCATTCTCGTTTAAAATTACACATTGAATATATGCTTCGCTTGATTTTTAGAGAGGAACTAAATGTCGGTAAGAATACTCAAGGAAATTATCTTTCTACTTGTGTCGTGTTTTCATTGCATCACATAAACAAGACAAAAATTATCATTGAAGAAAAAAACAATGCTTTACTGCAGCTTATGACCACAAGTCCACGGCCACAACATACAACTATTGTCATAACAACCTATAACACCATCGTCATGTTTCCAGGTTATGAGTTGGATGGTACGGCGTGATTGTACTATCTATAACGAATTACAAATGCTGGTTGTCATAGAGATGAGAACATCATGACTGACCTTGGGTCAAATGACTGGAAGTCTCATTACGGCCAATTATTAGCCTGACATGGAGTTAGTGATTACGGAGTGTTGACCACCTCAATACACCGGTTATGGGTATAGCAGTAAGTACTGATTGGTAAGCAGCGGCCCAACACCTGCTTTACGGCAGGGAAGCCATCATTACGTACCCGGCTTAATTACATAACACTAATTGGCTGGAATCATTAGTCCGATTATATCCGAGTAGCCTCCGACAATAGAGCACAAATACGGGACTACTTTAGAAGGGCGATAACCAGTGATCGACCGGAAGTTCTTCCATAGGCATGATCGATTTACGCTCTACATGGTAGATCTATAATGCTTCAGAAGCTCCTGGATTTACAAGATTTAGAAGAATTATATATATGTGTGAGTGTAATTATTAAACGGCACCATTGTATAAATACATGTAAATTTACATGTTTCCGTATAGGAACAAGTATATCATCTCCAGTATTCAAAGCTCAAGACGGTCCACAAAGTACTATACACCTGTACATTTTATACTGCACTTGTCAACACGAAACTGTTTGTCAGTGTTTTATCTCACGGAAATCAAACGTAAAAACAAAGCTATATTTGGAAATTTCCTTGGAAGGTACCATTGGAGTTAGTCAAAACCGACAGTTTAACACATTTGGCAGGAAGGGGTCGGAATTTATAGTCTGGCAATAGACTCACGGCCAAAAGTTACGTTATACCTCTCTTGTGTAAAAAGGGGTGTTTACCCAATGTAACGAATTAAAAAAACTCCCCTCCCCCACACCTACACAGCTAGATAGGCTGATCTCCGTCCCCCACACATAAACAGGTAGATAGGTAGTGCTGATCTCCCTCCTCCACACTCCACACATACACAGATAATGCTGACCCCCCCCCCA